AATGAAAATTCCATCATCAACTTGTTCTACACCCACTCAAATTTGCAAACAACATTTAGACAGTGCAATGAAACAATTTCACATCATACAAACATGAAATTTTGAAGTCACTTCTCCACTGTATGTGGCATTAAGTTAAATTTTGTGTTGCTTTGAACTTGGCCAAGATCAGTGCTCTGAGTTTTTCCATAAGGCTAGCTATGTTGTCCAGGTGTGTTGTCGCATGTTGACATGCTTCTTTGTAAAGTTTGGGTGAATGAAATTGGACCCAGTTTCCAAATTAGACCTTAGATTTTGGCTAGGGTCATCTCCACAAGTACACATAGAACGGTCCTTCTGAAAAACAAAATCACATCAACTTTATTTTTCATCTAGTGGGGTTGACATTATTCTAACTTTAGTGCATGTGAAATGAATGAAACCTCCTGCCCTAACAGATGAGCAGCGGGCAGTGCCATCAATTACATTAAATATGACTGGCAGCACAGTCAGTGGTTACAGGCAATGTTACCGTTCTGCATGCAGATGAAAGGGCACAACAACAAAAACATTCGGAAGTCAGAAATCCCTTTTCTGATTCAAATTATTTTATTTACTTCAGCTAAAGACTTGTAATAGCTAAGTAGTTTTTCCTAATCTAAGACCACGTTCACACTGCAGGCTGAAGTGACTCAAATGCGATCTTTTTGCCCAAATGCGACCCATATCCGATTTTCCTATGACAGTGTGAACAGCACAAATCCGATTTTTTCAAATCCGACCCAGGCCAGTTTCATATGTGGTCCTAAATCGGATACGTATCCAATGTTTTGCAATGCGACTTCAGTCTGAACGGCCAGGTCGCATTTCATTGAAATGCGACAGACGTCACAATTCTGTGCTGGAGGAGGCGAGGGGTAATAAAAAAAAGCCAGACAACGGTGATTCAGGTGGTGATAACGTTTCCCTTCTCACTCGGAAATTATTAATGAATTCTGTGTCTGTGAAGCCCCTCACAGAATCCCACCAGTCCTGGCTCCGACTCCGCACCCACACATTCCTCTGTACAGAGGTAGCAGCCACTGCTCCACAAAAGGCCATAAGCAATATTTGTGCTCTCCTTCTTATTGATATTCTTCTTATTATTATTTCTTTATTTCGATTGCACATTAACTGGTACATCGCTATGCGCATGCTATCACGAGCCACATCCATTTTTATTTCCGCAAACACAGTACGCTGCGTCTGACGTGACATCCTCTTCTGCGCATGCGGGTCACCTCAGGACCGTATATCGTTCACACATGAGACAGATGGCAGTCGCATTTAAATGACAGTGTGAACAACAGCGCAAAAAAATCAGATTTCGGCAAAAAATCCGATATGAGCATTAAGACCTGCAGTGTGAACGTAGTCTAAGTGGTTGCTCTACAGATGTATCTATGTAGAACAGGAATTCTGATTCCAACAGACTTAACTTTGGATCATGATGGGATGGTGAGAGGTATAAGGAGAGAGTGGTGGCTAGAAAAGAACAAGGAAAGGTTTAAAACAATGGGAAGTTCGGAACATAATTGGACTTTTTGCTGTGTTTTCTCTTCCCATTTGGATTACAGGATGGAGGCAGGCAGGATTTGGGACATATGGTAATTATCCCATCTGAGATCCCATCTGCGAACCACCCTCCACCATCACCACCCATCCCCAGCCTGTTTTTTAAACCCTCCCCAGCTCTCTCAGCTTAAGCAGGATTGTCTTTCTCTGCTCGACAGTCTCCGAGGTCACTAAAAACAAGCCAGGCTTTTGTGTCACAACAACAAAGGATTTCCACTGAAGAATCAGATACTTCTTAACTCCCTTTGGGAGGAGCCAGCACTTTGTCTTCAGGAATGCTTTTATTTTCTTGATGTGAGCAACTCATAATGCATAAATGCTTTCTTACTACTGCATATATAAAATATAAAGTACAGACGTACATAGTCAATGCTTTTTATGCACCAAAAATTGGTCAGGTTAATACTTTTACTAAGGCATATTTTTACCAGGAGTAACCATACTTATGATGTTAGTAATGCACAGGTTTCACTAAAGATTTGAAACACCTTCAAATGATGCAGCTGTTTCTTCATTAGTAAGACTTAACAGCATGAAATTACTATGTGTATTCAAAGGTACACTATCCTCATGATATAATGTGTAGTAGCCAGGACTTTTGCACAGTTTACTCAGTGTATGCCAATTGTGCACCAAGTGGAAAGAAGATACACTGAAAATGTGTTTCTTCGTGTTGCCATTATTTATCCAGCTAACAGTCGAGGGCCAGCAGGCGGCTTTCTGGGGCACAGAAGCTGGAATCCAGGCTGGAGGATTCTGTGCAAATATTCAGTTCACATGGAGAAGCCATGCATCATAGAGAAATACTAAAATAGAACAAGTGACAAGTTCACTGTCTATACTGAGCGCTTTGGCAACTTCATACACTGTTAAAAACATCAGTCTAAACCATACGTCCTTTGGCCTGCAGCAATTACTGCTGATCAAACACGACTTTGACAATGAATCATCCACTTGGATAAAAAAAACAAACTACAATAACCATAAAGTATTTTTTCTGAGCTGTGTTATTTTTCCATAACACTGTATACATGCCTGAGGGGGACACATTAACTGTGACAAATCATATCTGACTTGTTTTCCAGCCTAATAAATAGTTTGTATTTCATTATGAGTAGTGGTCATATTTTATTTGTGTTGGTGTCTGGTGTAATCTGGTGAGTGAAGATCAAGTGTTGCTTAGAAATAACTTTTTTTATGTAGTGCAGTGTAGCATCTATATATGTTTAAGTTTTAAATTGGGTTAAGAAATCATTTTAGTTTGTTCATGACTGGCGGTAGTTTCTCGACAAACAGGCCCCCAGTCCTGTGGCACGGTGGTTAGCGCTGTTCCCTCACAGCAAGAAGGTTCCGAGTTCGGGGCCTTTCTGTGCGGACTTTGCATGTTCTCCCCCGTGCTTGCGTGGATTCTCTCTGGGTACTCCGGCTTCCTCCCACAGTCCAAAGACATGCAGGTTAGGTTGATTGACGACTCTAAATTAACCACATTAGTGCATATACAGTGTATATATCCCAATTTGGGTTGTGCCAGGAAGGGCATCTGGCGTAAAACACGTGCCAAATGTATGCATGCAAACAGTTGATTCCCTAATGGGCACGGCCAAAAGTAGTAGTAGTAGACATGCCTACATGTGTTATAGTTGAAGAATCAGAAATACATACTATAGGTATGTGCACTCTGCTAATGTCATTGCACAGATCTCAAAAACGTGCTTGCACTTTGAGAAAGGAGGAACAGTTATGCACATAATCATATCATAATCACCTCTCACAGAGTGTGTGTGAAGGACATAAAGCTGGAACAGGTGGCGCCAGCACGGGACTCTGGGTGATGAATGACAGCAGGCTGGAGTCACAACCACAACTCATTATCATCATCCCGCAAAGCTCCTTCATCAGGGAGAAAAGCGTGTGTGTGTGTGTGTGTGAACATGTAATCCTGACATTTTGGGAACCATAAGCCATTTACACACTTACATTTTGGGGACCCAGTTTTCCTTGTGGGGGCCAGATGATGGTACAAATCATATGCAGGTTGACACTTAGTTTAAAGGTAGGTTAGAGTAAGTCTCCAGGATATGAATGTAAGTCAATGTAAATCCCCATGAAAAATGAAAACAAATGTGTGTGTGGGTGTGTGTACATGTGAAGGATGTGGTAGGTACTTAACTGGTTCTGCCCTTGAATCCATTATTTTCTGTACATGTGTAAAGGCCTGATAAGATCAGATACAAAGGAAATTGTTCTAATTGTTCTAAGCAGTCATGTACGACTCTACAACGCATTAATATTGGCATGTTGACATGTAAATTGTTTCTGCAGTCTGTGGAGATCTTACATGTAGGTGAAACAGAGAGAAAGAGAGAGAACTTTCTTAGGTGGTTGTGACAGAGGCAGACAGAGGGGTCAAAGGCGGGAGAGAGGTGAGCCTCTGAGTGAGAGAGCGAGAGAGTGTTAGGTGATGCCCGTCTCTCTGCAAAGACGGTCTCAGTAATATACAGTACAGGGTGCTTACCACCTGCTTTTGGCCACAATTTGAGAGTAATTAATTTACGTTAACTGTAAAGTGAGTGTAACAAAACCGAAAAAACTGAATCCATCAGGATCAGTGTTATTGTTCTCATCAACAAAAACTATGACAAAAATATCAGTTGACGACCAATTTTTAATGATGAAAATGAGACAAACTAAAAAGTAACATTTGATAACGAGAACTGTGACTCAAATCCTATGTCTTATTTATGAAATGAGTCTGATATGCTAGTGAACTCTCCTCTAGCCCAGTTTGATTGATTTCAGCTGCATTTCCAGCACAATGTGTTGTTTAACTTTTAGCAAGCTGCTGTGCCGCTGTGCTGTCAGCTGGGCCCCCACCTCCATCTGGAGCACTACTAGAGGTGTGAACATGGTCTTCAGCAGTCTCCTTCACTGCCCTTCACTACTGGTTACACTATGTTACATTTGCAGTTGCATTTACAAATGCTATGTAGCTAACACGTAAGTCAGTCATAAGAACAGCCCTGTGTAATAACCATGCAACAGAAAACATGTGCAGTGCGTGTGAGTGTGTGTGTATATATTGAACATTTCCACCTACTTCATTTATATAAAGTTATT